ATATAGTTGTTTTGTTCTTACCCATGACGGCAGCTTAGCTCTGAGCTCTGTGTGTTACAGTGAGATCACCTCCTGTCTACAAGCGTGCGCGTTCACGGCTCTGGGCCCTGCTGTGGGGGAGGAGCCTAGGAAGGGGAGCTGAGAGCAGGGGGAGGGACTACAAGGTTGTTTCTGTTCAAAATTTTTCTAAGTTTTTGGGTACCCAAGAAACTACATACAGCAGCTTTAATCTCAAATAATAATAAACTAAATAAAACAAAAACAAAAATTCAACTCCTCAAACAGTAACTCATACAAATTAACCAATTTCATATTTCTTTAACAATTTTACTTTGATCATTTTTTGAAGGAATTAATTGATCCCATGGTTTTATAATCATTTTCCAGATTATTCCATAGTCTTATACCTTTTACTGAAGTGTGTCTGTCCTTCAGATTTGTTCCAATTTTTGGTTTAACAAACATTTGTAGTCCCTTCAAATTATAGCAGCTTTCCCTTTGAACAAAATTAGATTGGATGTTTGAAGGTAACATATTTATATTAGCTTTATACATAACCTGCAGAATGTTATCAACCAAGTCATAAAATTTTAATAATTCTAATTGATGAAACAATATATTAGAAGGGTGATAGTAATGCTTTCTTATAATAATCCGTATGGCTCTTTTTTGTAAAATAAAAATAGGATTAGTGATTGTTTTGCATGCATTTCCCCAGACTTCTATACAATAAATCATATGTGGAGCAATTATTGCATTATATATCGGTAGTATAAATAGTCCTTTATCATTAAATAACTCCTTAACTTTATACAATACTGCAATAGATTTTGTCATTTTTGTTCTTAAGTAATTTATATGAGGCCTCCATGTCAGTTTTTCATCAATGATGACTCCCAAAAACTTCACCTCCCTGACTCTGCAAATTTCAACACTATCCACTCTAAATGGAACATCAGTTGTTTTCTTTCTATTACTAAATATCATGTAATTTGTTTTATCCAAATTTAATGATAACTTATTATGATTAAACCAATTTTGTACTTTTACAAATTCCATTTCCATCATTTCCACTATCTGTTCTATATTCTTACCCAGGCAAACAAATGTGGTGTCGTCTGCAAAAAAACACACATCTAAACAACCCCGACACATTTACCAAGTCATTAATATATAGGAGAAACAACTTTGGTCCCAATATAGAACCTTGTGGAACCCCACATACAATATTACAAAGTTCAGACCTTACATCATGTAATAACTTATAACCTCATCGCTTTCTTACATTTTGAAATCTAAACTGCCTTTTTTCTTGAACATAAATGTTTTAAATAACTCTCTCAGCTAACAAATGTTTTTATTGTTTTTATTTTGCAGTTTAGTGTAAAGGTTTGCAAACATTCTGGTTCACGTCGGTTTGATTGACAAGAAAGTAGAAACCCACTGTGCTCCAAGCCCAGAATAAATTACTCCGTCAAATAGCAGGAGCTGCTAACTTGTTTAAAATCATTTCGTTCTAAATGCTTTGTTCTTGCACCGAGTCTAGAAAGCAGGTTACGGACGGCTTGCTGCAAACAGAGGAAAATAGCTCCCAAAAGCTTTTATTCATGAGCCGTTCCCAATTGGATTGAAGTACGACACTATTTGTGGTGGTTAATTGTGAGGAGTGGTATTGATTCACAGTGGAAGTCCCTATTAACTAATCTCTTTAACTTCACACTGAAATTCTACCTCACAAAAAAATGTTTTTCTGTTTAGATGTTTCCCAAGTAAAAACTAATTTGTTCTTTTCTTTTTTTTTTCCTGCTTTTTGGAGTGGATTGAATCAGGGAAACCATGAACAACATTTTTCTCTTGATGTTTTTCATTTTTGAAGCTTAGATAAAAACAGTGATTTGGAGCTGTGTAATTGTCAGTCAGCTCTCCGTAAAACTCAATAAGCTCCAATCATTTCATATTCATAACAAAACACCACACATAGCATCACTAATATCACTTCACCGTTTCTACTTGACAGTTTATTAGGTAATCACTTCAAATGGGTACCATTAGCCACTTGGCTCTAACTGCAATTTCTGGACGAGCACTTTTCTGCACCAGAGAAAATGTTAAACCTGCACCACTCAATATGTAAATGGTAACAGAACCATCCACTCAAATACTAATGGCACACAGCACTCCCACATCAGCAAAGAACTGCTGAGTATATAGTAACACAAAAAAACATGATCGTCCAATAACTGTATTACATCCTTGTGCTCGTTGCAAATGGTGGAGTAATGGAGACAAAAATAATTCTCTTGTGTTAAACATTGATTATCTGAGTAATGACACAACATACTTGGATCACTGAGTTCTGATGTGCTGATTATGTAAGATGAAGAGTTTAACTTGAATTAAAAGTCTGAAAGGTGAGCGGGAATATTAAATATGTTTTACCTGTTTGTCTGTCAGGGCCAACGAGGCCGAGCAGCTGAAGCAGGACCTGCAGGAAGCCAGAGATTCAGAACGCAGAGCAAAGAACAAGCTGCTGGAAATCACCAGCAAAGCCATCTATACGGTAACGGACCTGCATGCAGACACATTAACAAACGTGCTGACGTTCACATGTGGAAAAAACACAGATTTACAGTCTGACGTGGGAATGTTCATTAAAAATATATGCTAATTTTGGCCTCTCTGTAAAAGAGTGTGTGTGGGATTATATGTGTATATGTTTATGTTTATGAAAACGTGCTGAACTGGGAGAGTCAGAAACGGTAGAAGGTTCTTAAAAAGTAAAGAGGCCAAATTCAAGGTGTTTTAGTACGGCTATGATGCAAAGTCAAGTTTATTTTTAATATATACAGTAGGGCTGTGTATTGGCAAGAATTTGTTGATGCGATACATATTATGACACAGGGGTCGCAATACGATATATCGCGATACTGTAAGCAAGGCAATATATTGCAATAAATTGCCATTTTTGTTCAAATATTATATTTTAAAAAAAAAGAACTCAGTATGTTTTAATGTATTTTATTTGTTTCATATTCATCCATGTTTTCAGTTGTTAGATGACTGCCAACTAGTGGTTGGAGGGTGAACTACAACATAAAAATGAACCGTTGGCAGGAAAGTTTACATTTTAAACCTTAATTAAAACTTGATACAGGGCTTTAGAGTATCGATACAGTATCGGGAAATGAAATATCACAATATTTCAGTGTATCTGTATTTTCTTACACCCCTAGTGTTTTCATAACAACTGAAAGTAATGTAATTACTTGACTGTGGCATAAAATTGAACTATGTGCCTGGAAAATACATAATAGCCTAGCTTTAAAGTATCTGACAGTAAAATATGGAAAAAATGCTACTAATATCATAAAGTTGTGTATCAAATCTCCCCTAAAACAGCATTAATTGTATTTTTTCATTAAATTAATGATTTATCCAAACATATCTTTGCCACATAATTGAGAATAAAAGCATACAAAAAGTTCCTAAATGTGTGCAAATCGACGGTCTTGTAAGGAATTGAATCCAGAGATTCCATTTCTGTCCATGCCTTTGATAAGAATCTATTTTTACTTGTTGTTGGTTTAACAGTTTTATCTTTACTCCCAACACACCCTCACGCTGACACGGGGAATTTTAATCCCGCAGAGCCGCACGAAACCGGAGATACTTGCATAAAACCATGCAGCCCACGCTGAAGCTTCCAACATTTTAAAAACCCCCACACACTTCATATTCCTCTGCCTTACACACCTACACACACACAACAGATACTGAGATGATGGCTCTTGATGGAATACTAAACTCTTATCAGTTTATGAATGAAAAGTTTTCACGCATAGACTCACACGGCTGTACATATGTGCACAAAAAGATGCTGCTGCTGCATTTTCACTGTATTGTGTCAGCTGCTGGGTGAAAAGGCCACAAACGCAATAATCTTGGTTCCCCACACCGCCGGTTTCATTCAGGCTGCTCTCTGTGATTTGAACAGATGCCGATAGTAAATATATCAAAGCTACGGTGTGGCTTTACATGCTGGGTGTCACATTTACATTTAGATTGTGTTTTAAGACCAGTTCTGAGGTGTCTTCTTACCAATGCACTGCAGACGCTGTTAGGATTCACAAGTGTATGAATGTTTTTAGATGATGTCTCCTTTAGAACATTTCCCTCCATCACCAATACATCCTTGTGTTGCTTTAAAGCTCAGTTTCCTGCTGTAATTTTCCTTTATTATTCCTAATATTATATTCCTCCTCTTTGATCTCTCTTTTATAATGACTAATAAATCTTTTCACTTCCTCCTTTTTCATCCCAGTCCCCTGGACGGGCATCTGACAGCATTCCTCCAGACCTGAGCTTCAGCAGGGAGAACCTCAGCTTTGACTTCAAAGATACTGACATGAAACGCCTTTCCATGGAAATTGAGAAGGAGAAGTGAGTCCTGCCCGTCAGATTCCTCTCCGTATCTTTTGTCTGCAAGCTTAGTTGTCACGATTTACAAAATCTGGGTACATGTGGCCAAAATGTGTTTCACTCAAATCTAAACTGACGCTCTGATGCACACAAACGAGCTTCTATTAGACACGTTTTAATACCAGAGTTCATATGACCCTGACAAGTGGCTATCGCTGACTTTGCTGCTAGTGCTATGCCAATTTATTTCAATAGCTATTTGGGTCATTGAGAGCAGACAGCAAAAATGAAATTTAGACAAGAATGACCCTTTCAGTGCAGTTGAATAAATGACTTGGTTTGATGTGATATAATTTGGTGATAGAGTATTTTAACAAATGCAGCAGAGCCACAGAACTGAATATATGGAAAATAATGTTAACACAATACCTAAAATATACAATGTACATCCTGTTTTTAAATTAACTGTAATTTTATAATACTTCCTTTTTTCTGTTATTGCATAATTAGATTTCAAACTATTTTTAAAATTAAAATGTTAAAAATAAAAATAAAATAAAAAACAAAAAAAGGGAAAAAAAATAAAAACAAAAAAACAAAAAAAAAATACAAACTACTGAACAAAATAAGTAAAATAATTCTATAATTTTGAAATTTTTCTTGTTATCCTTCTTACTGCATGTATTCCCAACATCGTTCTGTGAACCTTTTGTTTGTTCTTGTTTAGAGTTGAGTACATGGAGAAGAGCAAGCACCTGCAGGAGCAGCTGAACGAGCTGAAGACCGAGATCGATAGTCTGAAGCTGAAAGAACGAGAGAGCGCTCTGGACATCATTCACAACCAGAACACAGAGCAGGGAACCAGCAAGCAGAGCAACTTTAAAAAGGTAGTGACCAGCTCGTTGGTCATTGTGACGATGTCATAAAAATACACAATATGAGCCGAGAGAAATTATTTTCACACAGTAAACATATTCTCTACATAATAAAACCTTCATGAAGGTTTCAAGACATTTTGAAAAGCTTCTAAAAACCCTTCAAAACTAGATACAGCTTAGCGGTATCATTTATGACCTCCACACGTACGCAAAACACCAGAACTTGGAACTCATCAGATGAGATTCATTGTTTTGGGTGGGGGTCCAGGAGGTTTGGGGGTGCTCATTGGTGAGCCTGATGGATAGCCCTTCATCAGAGCTAAACAACCAAAAAATCTGAAGCTTCTATGTTGAATAGTTTTTGAGTTATAAGTATTTTCGTATGTCCAGAAACCCCTTTTTAGATGGAGCCCCCTCCTCAAATATGGGGTCTATTGTAAAACTGTTGGTTGGCGCAGTGTAGGTTGGACACATCTGCTTTACTGCCAAATTTCAAATTGATGGGTGCAGCTGTTTCCGTGCTATAGTTGACCAAAAATCTTTAAAAAACTAGATACCACATAGCGGTAACAATGACCCCCCGCATGCACAAATGCACCGGAACTCAGAAGTCTTTATTCCTAATAAATGTCATGCCACTAGGTGCATCCTAAAATTGTAGTGGTTTGGGTGGGGGTCTTTTGTGTGTGGGTGGGGGGTGGGTTTGGTTGACCTAATGGATAGCCCCTCATCAGAGCTAAACAACCAACAAAATCTGAAGCTCCTATGTTTAATAGTTTTTGAGCTATAACCATTTTTGTATGTCCAGATACCACTTTTTTAGATAAATTGGGGGTCCGGGGGTGGGGGTGCACTGATTGGTGGGCCTGATGGATATAACTTCATCAGAGCTAAACAACCCAAAAAATCTGAAGCTCCTATGTTTAAAAGTTTTTGAGCTATAACCATTTTTGCATGTCAGACACCCATTTTTCAGAAAATTGGGAGTCTGGGGGGCACTGATTGGTGGGCTTGATGGATAGAGCTTCATCAGAGCTAAACAACAAAAGAAATCTGAAGCTTCTATGTTGAACAGTTTCTGAGCTATAAGCAGTTTTGCATGTCCTGACACCCCCACTTTGAAAGGAGCCCCCTCCTCAAATATGGGGTCTATCGTAAAACTGTTGGCTGGTGCAGTGTAGGTCGGACTCATCTACAGTCCTGCCAAATTTCATGTTGATCGGTGCAGCCGTTTTTGTGCTACGGTTGACCAAAAATCACTGGAAAAATAAAATAAATAAATAAACAGTACGAAAACAATATGACTGACGCTTACACTTCACGTGCGGGGGTCATAATAAATCACTCACATTTGCAGCCCAGTGAAATAAAAGCTGTATGTATTCTGATTGTAATGCAGTAAACCATTCAACAACTTTGTAATCAATCCAAGTGTCATAAGTAGTTGGAAAATCAAAGAGTTTGAACATTTATCTGACACCGCCCTCCTGTGAAACACCCGTGTTTTATTGTCTGTCACATCCAGGCGGGGGACTTGAGTCCTTTTTCAATATTAATCTCCATCACTCGCCACCCTCCATGTTCATATTTCAGCCTTCAGGTTCCTTTTTAATGAAGCCCATTGGGTGAGTTGTAGCAAATATTAATTTTCTGCTGTGACCTCTGAAAGCGCTCCGTGATTCCCAAACCTTCCCCATATTTACCGACTGCAGCAGGAGGGGCTAAACATATTTAAATCTAACCTCTTACACAGCAGTGTTGAAGTCAGTCTGTGTTTTTTCATTCTTTCATCCTGTCTGTACTGGTTACTTCAGCTCACCCAGCTCCTGGTTTAGAAATGACTTGAAGGAAAATTAACTCCTGTAGCTTTGGAGGGGTTTAATAATTGATTGGTTACAGGCATGATTACTGAAACCACTTTGTGTTTCCCTCATCCTCTGATGAACTGCAAGACTTAAACTTCTCATTTGTCTCTCATATCTTTCAACCCCTGCTAAAAAAAAGTCACAATAAATATTTGGAAGTTGCCAGCACTTTTAACAAACTGTATCCATTTTGCTCCACAGTGTAAAATGTACTAGTTAAGGGAGCACTAATTGATTTTTGTGCGGCCATTCGTCATCTTGATTGATGTGGACATTTTTTTCACATGAAAGAGGGGAAAGAGCAAAGCTAAACGTGTTGGTCTAATTGAACTAGAGGTGGTCTGCATTCATCTTGTTTGAGGGAAATGGGAACCAGGGCATGCAGCGCCGCAGTGAGAAGAGAAGAAGGCGAGGGAACTAAGGTCCAATTCTATTTCTTAGTTACCCCTACCTCTGATTTTAGCGTGACTCATTGGCCCTTAATCTACAGTCCCAAGCTGTTCAGCGTCTCCTTTGTGTGAGCTTTAGGCAAGTTTTCACAGCTGCTGCGGAAAACCAGAGAAATGTAAGAAAAACATTGACCTTTTCAGCATTTGGAGTCATAAAAGACTGCAAACAAATGTAGCTGACACATGCTACTTACTCTCAGGGAAATCCTCTCCTCTCGAAAAAGATTGATGAACATCCCTTTAAAGCAGCTCCGTGCACTTTGCACTTTTCTCAGGCCCCGGTTTCGCCAGGCCATTACAGAAGAGATCTATGAAGTTAGGTTTGTGCCTATAAGATTGAGAAAAACTCTTAGAACTTCAAACAAAAATTAAGAATTTGATAATAAATAACATTCAAAAAGTTTTTTCAAAAGCAAAGCTTAAAATCTGTAATCAAAATCTTAAAGCAATACTGTAGTCTTTGTCTTGTTTTTGTTAGAAAAATATATTTTTGTTATCAGTTTCCTCTGTTTCATTCTCAGTAAACAGAGTTTTGCTCTCGCTCCCAGCTTTGCAGTTAAGCTGCCTCTCCTTTGCGCTCCGTCATTTTTTGCTTGCAATTCTCACAGACCATATATGGAGGGGGGCAGGTCTTCTGAGATGTCTTTTCCTATTGGACAGAGATTTCTTGAGTGACAGATCAGTGACCTGGAAGACTTCCACTATGACCTGGAGTGAGGTATATTTACTTCCGGTGTCATTTCGTCTTGGAAATCTCTCCGGAAAATGCGTGAATGCTCATCATTTTCACGAAATTACAAAGGGTAATGTTAAAAATAATTAGAATAATAACAATAACTGTACATATCTATGTCACTCCGGGTCATAGCGAAAGTCTTCCAGGTCACTGATCTGTCACTCAAGAAATCTCTGTCCAATAGGAAAAGACGTCTCAGAAGACCCGCCCCCTCCATATATGGTCTGTGCAAATAGCCTATATGCCACAGACATCCGGCCCAGCACTTGATGCCACTCCCACCACTTCCGGTTCACGGTCAACACAGTGTTAGCGAAAGATTTTTTCACCCGACAACGACTCTTAATGATCTCCACAGTACAGAATTAGCATATTACATGTACCAACATTAACACAGGAGACGTACAGGTCCAGCCAAGTGGAAAAAAAATCACTCCAAAGTGGATTAAAGCCATAAAAACAAAGGAAAGACGTTCGTGTTTATGGTTCCAGAATTTAGCCTTTTTCGCTATTCCGTGGCTGCTTGTTCTGTGAATTTTTCACGTAGAGCTGTGACACTTATATTGTTGGAAAGAGCAGAGTCTGGGCTTTAAATCGATGGGCTACTTGTATGGTTTGGATTGTTTTCCCCGACGTTAGTGAACTAAAAATGTAATGATTATCAGGCGGAGGTTCTGCTGCTCTCGGTGCTCGGGAAGGGGGGGGGCTCGTCACTCGGCTTTAGTCTACGCTGTAATATACACTCTAACAAGTTTTTACTTTTGCATAAAACTCATGACAAAGTTGCTTAAAACATTTCATATAACACAAACGCGCGTGCGCACACACCGGCTGCTGTGTTAGCTTCCTGCTAGCTGTCCTCTGGAGGAGGTCTTTCCTCTCTCTTGGCAGTAAAAGGGGATAAATGTACATTTCCCTTTTGTAACCTCTGTCTTCTCATTTCTGATGCTGGCTCTTGAATATCCTCAGGTTAGAAATGCCGATTACAAACGCAAGCGTGAGCTTTTAAAGATCAGTTTTCCTTGTAATGCTATGATCCACAGCTGTCACCTCCTCATCTAAAGGAAAAAGGATAAAAACTAACTACTCGATCGTATCTGCTGCTTAGTGGACACAACGGCACACAACAGAACTCACGTTTTATACCAGTAGATCACAGATGCTTTAACTTTTGTGACTTTTTCATGGACTAGTACTAGGAGCTCACGCTAAAAACATAGGCAGTAAGCAGGGAGTGGAAGGGAGGAGCGTGGCAAAAATTTTACCGGAAATACGTCATTAATGACCGTGGCATATAGGCTATTGCAAGGAAAAAATGACGGAGCGCGAAGGAGAGGCAGCTTAACTGCAAAGCTGAGAACGAGAGCAAAACTCTGATCACTGAGAATGAAACAGAGGAAACTGATAACACAAATATATTTTTCTAACAAAAACAAGACAAAGACTTGACAGTAGTGCTTTAAGATTTTGATAGCAGATTGTAAGCTTTGCTTTTGAAAAGATTTTTTCAATGTTATTTTTTATCAAATTCTTAATTTTTGTTTGAACATCTAAGAGTTTTTCTCAGTATTATTGTCACAAATCTTAATCTCATAGAGATCCTTCCCAACAACTAAATCACACCAGAGGTGCAGGGATTCTAGATCTTTATGTTACTCGTGGCTATTCTGATCGTACAAAGTGGCGCACAGAATGGAGGTCAACTGTTGAGGCCCTTTTCACTGTACTGAACAATAAACAGAAGGGCCTCTTCTCTGTAAATAGTTACATTCTGCCTTTCACAGCTTTAATAGTCAAACACTAAAAAGAGGTACTTCTCTGTGGTCTGGAGAATTAGATAAATGCACAGTCAGGGTTTCCTGCTCTCATTGTTCAGACTGCCTGTCAGCAGGGACAATACAAGGTAATCAGTAAATATCACTCAGCAAATCCTTTTTTCTCTCACACACCTTATATCTTTGGATTTGCTTGTCCTTCATCCACATTTCCAAAAAACAACAAAAACATGGATTTTCCTGGCTGTCCACCTCCACCTGGTTAATCTTCACCTTGGCAGTGGCTTTAATTCCTGTTATTTTCAGATTTAATAAAGAGGGAATAGTTTGCCTAGCTATTTCAAACTCCTAGTCTTAAAAAAATCAATGCTCAGCTACTTTGCTGCAGTTTTTTTTCACTTGAGTGAGGCAACCGCCCACTCGTTTAGACCCGGGCAGAAAAGCATTCATCAATTCTTTCTTCAAACAGCTTTTGTCTCCTACTCTTTAGATTTTATTGACCACCTTAAAGCTGACATCAGGTGTTTTGAAAGTTGAACACGTCTACCCAGTTTAGCCACCCAATCAGCAAATCCTGAACTCAATAAAAGTGCAGCATTCGATCTTTAGGGCAGATGTTAGAAAGGCGGAAACACTCCTGAAGCTCGTCAGTGCAGCAAACTACTGTGATGCTGAATCTTCAGTGCAGCATGAAGAGTAAGTGATCCAGGGTGCCACAGCATGCTGCTGCAGTCAGACTGAGTCCAAAGAGCTGTTGACAGCTGGAAAATTATAAAAGCAAAGTGTCAGTCTGCTGTTACACATAGAGACTGTTGACCAGCAGGCAGAAAGGCTGATAAAGAGGAAAAGCAATAATTTCTGTCACCAGTCAGAATGACTTTTTTTCTTATTTGCAAAAGTGTTTTTTTCTTACTTAAACCTTATTCTCTTTGTTATCTCCTCCACAGCTGACACTGCAGAGCACCAAGACCAGGGTGGCCTTCTTTGAAGAACTTTAAACTGTGTATCTGCAGCCAGCAGCCTCTCGAGTCTCCACTCCCGGTCAGTCCTGACCACACACTACAAAGCCTCACGCTCCACCCGCCGGGAGCCAAACAAACACTACAGACAGAACAGGAACCACTGCACTCACTGCAGGATCAGATTCATCAAAAGAGAGACGAGTGTGTGTTTTCACTGAGTGTGTGTTTGCGCTGTACACATTCTTCAGTTTGAAGTAAACCTGATGTGATTTATTAATGAAGTTTGACTGCAAAAGGAGAAACCGGCTCCTATTCCACTGTGAGTCTAATGAGATTTTATTAGTGCGGTTTAACAGCTAATTTCAAATTAAAGGTACTCATTGCAAAGTATGAAACCAAATGTAATAAAGGTTATCCTGACCTTAGTGTAATGGTGCAGTTTGAAAGAGTTTACTTCAGTAGTTTTCCAGATATGCAGTTCTAAATTGCGGGTACGTACTAGGGTTGGGCAATATTGGCAAAAAATAATCATGATTAATTGTGGTATTTAGCTGATAATGATTAATTTGGAGGCGGCACGGTGGCTCAGTTGGTAGAGCTGATGCCTCTCAGCAAGAAGGTCACCGGTTCAAATCCCGGTCCGGGGACCTTTCTGGGTAGAGTTTGCA